GGTGACAGGACTATCGAGGGTTGCACAGGCAGCACGGGCACCTGGGCTCCAGCTTCCACAGCGTACTGAGCGTGTCCGTGCATCTGCTGCAACACAACAGAGAGCTGTTACGGCGCGTCCCTGCTCGGAGCGCTCGTGACGCACACGGCAAGGTACCACGGGGGAAAAGGGCGAGAAGTCTGCGGCCGTGCTGCGTTGGCGTGGTCTCCGCTTGGAGAGGTAACTGCTCGAGAGTTTAAACTTGCTTTGAAATGACCAAATAAAAACAATAATCGAAGTATTCTTCCTATATAATGGTGATGCGTGTATTGCTCAAGCACAATTTGTAGAAACAAAGCTGTGTTTTGCTAAGGAATTAAAATCTCAGATTAAGAGTTCATTGTCCTGAATAGTTTCCTCTGCTTTCAACCAGCGTACCACAACGCTCACGCAGAGAAAAAATACACTCTACCCACAACTTAAATTTGGATTTAAAAAAAAAAAAAATTATCTGTTTTATATGTAGAACCAGCAGCTGGTACAGACCACACAAGTAACTTTTTTACTGACTACACACCAGCGTCCTATGGAAGACGTTGTTTCCCATTTCGTTTAAACATTTTCAGACCCAGCTTCACCCCTGACGTGCTAAGCACCAAGGCCCAGCCCTGCGGACGCCTCCTCGCGTCACGCGCACAGAAGAAGTTCCACTTCTCTCCGCGGATTTCTTCAGGGCGTTAGAAGAACTCGAGCGCGTAAGCGCTTTGTGGGACCCGGACCGACGCGAGTAGATGCCAGCTGCTCAGAGACCCTGTCGTTACTCTGCACAGCAGTTCTTTTGGGTTGCACAGTGCAGAATAGAACATTCTCCTCTTAGGTACATCGTGTATTTTTCCAAGAGGACTGAGCTTGCGGGAAGAGGAAAAAGGAAAGAAAGGAAAATACGGAAGAAAAAAGCTTTTTAGGGCTAGGTAAAACTCTGCCCAGTTTTTACATTTTTAAAGTATCATCATCACCTAGAGATTCAGACTATTCGGAGAACATACTAAAAAAAAGTCAAGACTCCGATGAGAACTAGGCCACACAATTTCATTACTGCCCACTCTCTGCAGATTCTGGATATGAGCTGAAATTATTATTCCAAGTCTTAATGTGCATAAAAATAAAGACACAGCGGGCTTTGCACCACGTTAACAGTTACGCTAAGTGGAGGCTGCAGGACAGCAACTGGTGCACACTGCAGAAGAGCACTGCAATTTTTTTTTTTTTTTAATCTTGTGTCACTAGAATAATTCAAACGCTTCAATTTACCTGGGCAAAACTAAACTCCGAGGTGCCAAACATCAACTGCCAAAACAGCAGCGCACTGGCAGGCCTTTATTTAAGAGAAATACTTCTCCATTCAAGGTACTTTAAGACAAAGAACAATGTGTTTTTGAATACTCCTCTGCACTTGTCCATTTTGTTTCTAACAGCTATTTTTTCAAGCCAAAAAAGCCCCGTGCAATTCTTCCACACATATTTGATGGATGACGGTGTCGGGGCGGTTTGGGAACACCAGCTCCGCGGTTCTGGTGCTTGCTGTGCAGAACAGGCCTGCTTCAGCTCCCTGCTGGAAACACCGTGGCTAACGAGCTCGGCGGTAACTGCCTCGGGCTCCACGTTGCCCGCGTTTTCACAAACAATATTTCTGTACCGAACACACGGCTGAAGAGAGAAAAATAAAAAACGATGTGCTACTCTGAAGATGCCACGACATGGCAGGTTGAAAGGGGACGTTATGAATTTTAATCAATGTGTCACAGCGAAGCGACGTCGTAGAGCACAGATTTTCAAGAATATCATTATGAACAGATTTCGCGCGGACTGCGTTTCATCTTGTCACATTACAGATGTGGCAAGAGCAGTATTTACAGACTCTGTCAACAAGTCCTGAACCAGTTCTCCCGTAAACAGGGCTAACACTGGCAGCTCCAGTCTGTGCTTCATGCCTGTTAAGGGGGAAGGGTCTGCAGCTAGAACTCCTCCTCGCCTGACAGAACTCTTCCATGCAGTTTTCCGGAGCCGT